TACGTGTTCGCTTGGATCTCCTCTTTTGTGTGTGAGATAATCCAAAGGGACACTAGCTTGGTGGTTAGATGTAGAAACTTCTTTGTTGCCCTTCTCACTTTCTTTATGACCGGAAGATGCAGTTTTGACCAAATTATTGTTAACAACAATTGACCAAGATGCATAGCCATTTCTCCACCAATGATTACATTTTCCCCCTCGATTGATTTGGCCTGCTTGGCCAAACTAATTTCTAACTCATTTATTTTTATGCTCACAGTAACTTCGAGATGATCTTGTGGAGCATTTGTGGGCGTTCATGGTGCTGGCTAGTATGATCCATTGTAATTTTATTACAATTTGTTGCTATGTGGTGTGATCAAAAATTTCAATATGCCTATATGATTTTTATGTTTGACAAATTTGAATTTGGATGTAAATTGTATTATTTGAAATCATGAATATAATTTAAACACAATTCATTTTTATGGTTTATACATTTTTTAAGTTTGAACTATAATAGTATCATATGAAGGATATACATGAAGATTGTACTAAATTGTAAGAGAATGAAATAGAAGCTTAGATGTAGGGGGGCTCTTGTTGGAGTTGAATGATGAAAACAAAGCTTTAAAAGTGGAGAGAACCCTACTCAAAAAATAGGGGCTCTATTTTAGTGGGGGCAAAGCTCGGAAATGCTTTAGGCCTTGTTTGGATGCATGCGTATCCACTTCAATCCACATGTGTTGGAGTGGAATGGAATTGAACTTAGTTTAATTCCACTCCAATCCACTTCAACACATGCGGATTGAGATAAATACATGTGCATCCAAACAAGTCCTTAAGGGGTCGTTTGGATATAGCTTTGCTTCGCTTGTGGATTGTTTTTTGGCTTCAGCTTTAAGAACAGCTTTAATGGTGGAGTTGAAGCTATTTTGTTAAGACGTTTGGTAAAACAACTTCCTAGAATAAATAAAAAATGAAATGTCTATAATGTCTTTACCATTTTCTTCTCTTCCTTTATTTTCTTCTCTGCTTTCCTCTTATCCTTATCTGCTCGGGCTCCTCACGTTCTGCCCAAAACTTTGTTGCCCTGAAGCTTCATCGGCCGGTGGCCCCATAGCCTTTGTGCATCGGTGGCTCCACACCCCCCCACCGATGCAGACTCCACCATATGCCAGATGAAGCTCGGCGGTAACACTCTGCCAGACGGTGAACCACGCAGGGCGACAAAGCTCTAGCCGGTCGGCGCCTCCACCTCTGCCTCACCCGTCGTATCGCGCCTCCTTAGTGCACGGAGGGGCATTTTGTCCGGACCAACAAGCATAAAGGAATTGGAGAAGCTAGGTGGCTGGTTTAGGGGCCCGTTTGCACGGCTCTGGCTCGTGAAAAACAGCTCTAGCTCTGGCTCCTATGGAAAAGCAGCTTTTTACAGCTCTCAGCTTATTTTGTATGAAAAGCGTTTAGCAAAATGGCTTCTCCTAGCTTTTAGAATATAAAGAAGATGTCAAATGTCCAAAATACCCTTATATTTTTCTCTCTTTTCTTTTCTTTTTTTCTCTTTATTTTCCATTTCTTTTTCTTTCACTTTTTATTTATCTTTCCTTCTCCCCTTCTTTTCTTTTCCCCTCCTCTCTCCTTATCCAATCGGCCTCTCCCTCCCGGCCTTATCTGGCCAAGGCCTTGTGGCAGGCAATGGAGCAGGAGAGGCTGGCCATGGGAGGAACCAGGGGCGGAGGCGGGGCGCGCTGGCCGGAGCAGGATGCCGGCGGTGGGGCGGAGCAGGAGGCCGGTGGCGGGGCGGAGCAGGAGACGGAGGCGCACGGGGAGGAGCAGGAGGCCGGCGGTGGGGGAGAAGGAGGCTGGCGGCGTAGGGAGGCGGTCGTTGGCCTTGGGCGCCGGGGGAGAGCAGCAGCCGGGGACAAGGATGGAAAAGCAGCTACAGTGAGTGAGAAGAAGCTGGGGGAAGCCACATTTTTTGGCTTGCCCTCCCCTGTGTAAGCCACCGAACTGCTTCTCTCCGGCTTCTAGGCGGAAGCCATTTTGCAGAGCGCCGTTTGGCACGGCTTCATCAAAAGCCGCTCGAGAAGCCGCTAGATGAGCCATGCCAAAGAGGGCCTTATTCAGCTCCTCTCGTCTGCCACTCTAGACAGCAGGAACATGTAGCGGCATCTCAGAGACCCGTTTGGGTGGCCTCAAACATGCCCTTAGACCGGCTCCAACAGCGTAGGCATAATGTGACCCAAACCCAAAATGCGTTGTTCACAGTGTTTTAGTGGAATAAAATAAGCTCCAACAGAGTAGGCAAACAAGTGACCCATTTTGCGTGGGAGGCGACGTGGAACCCAAATAAGCGTCCCCTCTCCGTCTTTTTACGTCTCCACACAGGCGCCAGGACCACCACCATGAGTGAAGAGGACGACCAGAGCCCGAGATCCGCACCGGAGCCTGGTCCGGCGAGAGCAGCGCCTCGGGGTCGCCGCACCGGAGCTGGCTCAACGCGGACCGGAGCTGAGGAAGGGGGTCGCAGGTGCCACTCCGACAAATGGCAGGGCCATGCCGTCGGTGCCGCTCTGCCTGTGAGGGGAGGAGAGGGCGGCCGGATCTCGCGTTGAGGAAGGTGGTCGCAGGTGCCGCTCATGGGTGGGGAGAAAATGGCGGCAGCAGGCTGGGCTCTCACCTGCTGGGGCGGCCTTCAGGCGGCGGGCGAAGGGGCCACGCCAGGGACGCTGCCGGAGCTCGTCCGCGCCTCGCCGGATCTCGCGCCAGAGCTCGCAGCTCGGTGGCCGGCTGCGGGGAAGACGAAGACGGAGGAGCAGGCAGCACCGGGTGGAAGAAGATGAGGTCGTCTGAACTGGGCCACACACTTTTTGGGGTCTTCTTTTGGGTTCGCTGTTAGAATAGGCAACGTTTTAGGTCCGCGACCCTTTTACTGTGCGTGACCCAAACCACCCAATGGGTCTCATATTTAGGTTCCTGCTGTTGGAGATAGTCTTAGGTATATATACACTGTGTACTTCTAGGTTGCCGAATATGGTAGAGGTCCCTGTGGATCAAATTAGGAAAGTTTGTGAGGGAATGAACAGTAAGCTTGGCTTTTGGAGAGGGTGGTTGCATGAAGTAGGAACCCATGCTGCCTCCCAGGCTGACCTGATGCAGCTCAAGATTAACGACTACACCTGCTGGGACTGCGCTGTAGAAGATGAGAACAGCACGCGGCAATGTGAGCACTCTATGGCCCCGTTCGCTGGTCTGAAATTTGGCTGAAAAATACTGTTCCGGCTGGTTTGTTGTGAGAGAAAAACACTGTTCGGCTGGTTTGTTAAACAGTAAATTATGAGGGGAGCAGCCAGCTGGCTGGACGAGTCCAGACCAACGAACGGCACCTATGTGTCATGCAAGTGCAAGTGGCAGATATCATCCCTATCCCATCCTAATGGTCATTTTCCTAACAACGGATCATTGACACTTAACCTACGATTTAAATTAGGATTTCCCAAAATTAAAAGGAAAAAGGCGGCAGGCAGCTAGCTAGCTTTCCAACCGGTGCAGTGTACAGTTACACTACACATTCCCATTAGCATGTACTATTCATAGATGTCGTTACAGAAATGCATCATCATGTTCCTGTCGATGTTGTTATATTGGTATATATACGAGTGCATGCACCAGGCCACTTGGCAGTTGGCTTAGTCTAACCTATCATGGTCGGTGGAATACGCCACTGATGAGCAGCCGTGTCATATTTGTTCAAACCAACACACACGCCGTGCTGACAAAAGAACGAATGCACACAGTGCAAGAATGGTCAGCTTGAGACTTGACTAAGAGCAATAGAAATATGGGGAGGGTGAGAGAGAAGAAGAGGTGGAGGAAAGCAAAAAAATGAAGAGAGAGAAAGAAGAAGAGACCAGCTCCCTTCAATCATGTTCTGCATCCGTCACTGGATAGATGATAAGTAATATTTACATAGGAGTATATATAACAGGGGTTAGTAGGTGGGTGTGCAGTGTATGTGGAACGAAGCTACAACGAAGTTGCATATATGATATGGCAGCAGAAGACTTAGCCCTTGTTTAGTTGGAGAAATTTGGATTTTGGGGCTACTGTAGCACGTTCGTTTTTATTTGGCAAATAGTGTTCAAACATGGACTAATTAGGCTCAAAACGTTCGTCTCGTAATTTCCCACCAAACTGTGCAATTAGTTTTTCTTTTCGTCTATATTTAATGCTCCATGCATGGGCCACAAACATTCGATGTGACAGGTACTGTAGCAACTTTTTGGATATTGGGGGTGAACTAAACACGGCGTTAGTAACAAGTTTACTACCTACAATTTAAAACTCATGCGGTGCGAGTGCGACATGAAAATACCTTATTTACCTCCCACCACCATTTCACTTGATCCATGTTTAATTCCTTGCTGCTTTAGTCTATGATGCAATGCAATTGAAATGCAACAAGTTGCAGCTAGTGGATCAGATCGATGAGGATTAGAGAATAGAGATGCATTCATAACCGCCTATAAATAACGCACTACCCACCTTCTGTTGACCTGTGCAAGCCACACACCACCACACATCGTCGTGCTTGCTGCACCGGCCTGCAAGCGAGCAAGCAAGCAGAATGGCCAGGTCCAGCAGGAGCAGACCAGTGGCCGCCGTGCAGCTGCTGGTGGCCATCTCAGCGCTCTGCGCCGCCCTCTCGTCGGCCACGGTGACGACCGTGAACGAGCCCATCGTCAACGGCCTCTCCTGGAGCTTCTACGACGTGTCCTGCCCGTACGTGGAGGACATCGTGAGCTGGCACGTCACCGAGGCTCTCCGCCGCGACATCGGCATCGCCGCCGGCCTCATCCGCATCTTCTTCCACGACTGCTTCCCGCAGGTAACGACCCTAGCTGCTACGGACCGTACGTTGATGCTGACGATGACCAACACAGTGCACAGTGCCATGTACGACCCAAAACCAAATCTAACAATCCATGAACGAAACTGTGAAAACGTACCATCGATATCAGGGCTGCGACGCGTCCGTGCTCCTGTCGGGTCCCAACAGCGAGCAGATCGAGATACCCAACCAGACGCTGCGTCCCGCGGCGCTGAAGCTCATCGACGACATCCGCGCCGCCGTCCACGCCGCCTGCGGGCCCACGGTATCCTGCGCCGACATCACCACGCTAGCTACCCGGGACGCCGTCGTCGCGGTAAGTCGCCAGCTAGACTGTCAGGTATTCAGAGAGTGTGTACGTTCGATCATATATCGACTACTCCATCCATCCAGTCCGGCGGCCCCTTCTTCGACGTTCCTCTCGGGCGGCGCGACGGCCTGGCGCCGGCTTCGAGCGACCTGGTGGGCACCCTGCCGGCGCCCTTCTTCGACGTGCCGACGCTGATCGAGGCGTTCAAGAACCGCAGCCTGGACAAGGCGGACCTGGTGGCGCTGTCCGGCGCGCACACCGTGGGCCGCGGCCACTGCGCCTCCTTCAGCGACCGGCTGCCGCCCAACGCGGACGACGGCACCATGGACCCGGCGTTCCGGCAGAAGCTGGCGGCCAAGTGCGCCAGCGACCCCAGCGGGAACGTGGTGAGCCAGGTGCTGGACGTGCGCACGCCCAACGCCTTCGACAACAAGTACTACTTCGACCTGATCGCGAGGCAGGGGCTGTTCAAGTCGGACCAGGGCCTCATCAACCACCCGGACACCATGCGCACCGCCACCCGCTTCGCGCTCAACCAGGCCGCCTTCTTCGACCAGTTCGCCAGGTCCTTCGTCAAGATGAGCCAGATGGACGTGCTCACCGGCACCGCCGGAGAGATCCGCCTCAACTGCTCCGTGCGCAACACCGCCAGCGTCGATATCTCATCATCAGCCCAGCTCGACACCGCCGCCGGCGACGACGAGGGGCTCGCGGCCGACGCGTGAATGATTAGCTAGCTCGCTCTAGCTGTAACAGGTCATGGCCATATCGCTTAGCGTATCTGTTCTCAGTGTTGTGTAAGTGTCAGGTAGCTAAGCATGCGTGCTGCTGTCATGGACCCATGGTGGTGATATAGCTTGTAAAGGTTTGTCACGTGAAATAAGCCAGGCCTATAGTTGAGTTTGTTTTCTTCTTCGGTTTTCCTGGTCTTCTTCGCTTGCTGCTTCTTCAGTTTATAAAAAGTTTGACACAAAAATCTTATAACCACAATGTTTATCCAAGGAAAACCGGTAAGAAAAGATCCGAACAGGGCAGCCCAGATGACTATAATCTTGTTTTCTTGTTCTGTTTTTCAGTTCGTCTTCTGTTCAGGCGATGCATGGCTTGCTGTCTTTTCATTTGAGTTTCTTGACGGTCTATAGAATTGATTTGTTTTTTGTTTTTTTTAAACTAAAATTGATTGGTTTATAAGGAATGAAAATTGTACACCGAAAACCTTATAACCACATGGTTTACTGGAGGAAAACTGGGAAAAATAAACTGAATACGGCAGCCCACACGACTAATCCTGAGCAACCCCAAACACAGACAGGCTTTCTTTGGAGGCCCATGCTCATGTCATTTTCCTAACCCAGACACACAATCACAATCTTGCTATTTTCACCATTCGTATTTTTCTACAAAAAAAATGTTTACATGCTTGAAATTTCCATGTTACACAAAATTTATTATGCAACATACATAGCGAGTACGTATTGCACATTTTAGAGCATGTAGAATTATTTTGGAGAACAAAAAAAAACAGATGACCGAAGTTGCTACAGTAAATTTTGTGACCAGTAAACCCAAACGGAGTGAAGTTTCAAGACTTTAGCAGGGCCTTGAGATCACCTCTAAATTTCAAGTTTTTTCACTCTCTCTTCATCACATCAATTTTTAGACGCATGCATAAAACATTAAATATAGATAAAAAAAATAACTAATTACACAGTTTGGTTGTAAATCACGAGATAGATCTTTTGAGCCTAGTTAGTCCATGATCGGACAAAGTTTGTCAAATACAAACGAAACATGCTACAGTATCCAGGTTGCAACAATTTGCAATCTAAACAAGGCCAACTCATCCTCAAAACTACACTCAAGCTCAACTGTGCATGCACGCACAAACAAACCGTAGTACCTCAGTCATAACCTTGAGCACAGCCAAAATCAGCACCACAAAAGACTGCTTCCATATTCAGGTCCGGGGATTCTTCCCTCAATTGCAAAATACAAAATGTACAGGTGCAGAGAACGAACGAGCGGGCAGAATTTCAGCAGCAGTGACATGGGATGAGATTAGATTCTCAAATCAAAATTTTTGGCAGCGCATGGAGGCTGCTAGAGCCAGGTAACCACAACCACAAGGGACCAAAAGATAATAATAAAAAATTAGAACAAAAAAAATCTTGCCTATTGACCAAGAAACATCCAACGTGCACACTGCACCAGTAGGTTAGTACACAAAAGAAAAGGTCCATACAGAAAACATGCACATTGACCAGCTCACATGACTCCATTTCTCTCAAGAATTCCGCTAACAACCCTTGAATACTTCAACTCCGCAAGGGTTTATGCAGAGTTGACTCAGCTCAAGGGCAATCAAATGTCATGTAACAAATTGAAGTATCCTGGCAACAATATAAGTCAGAACTCCATCTAAACAACCCATCACCCATGCTACCTGACCACCCAAGTTCTGCCTTACTGATATCTCTAGAACCAACAAATATTTCTGAAGGGCAGTTTCATACAGGATGTAATGTGTAGCTCAATGATAAACCTGCCAGTTTCACTAAGCACTCTGAAATACAACAGTACTTCTGTATATCTCTTCTTAACTATAGTCTATGTACAAGAATAGAACATATATCAAAGATACGATCAAGTTTAAATATGGGACCAAGTAAGGTTCCGTTCGCCCAAATTATTTCATTGACAAAGGAATTGACTATGTCAGTTGTTTCTTTCACCAAACACGCTGAAATAGTACAACACTATCTAAAAAGTGCTTCTGTATATCTCTTCTTAACTATAGTCTGTGACTCTGTACCTTTTGAAAAAAAAACTATAGTCTGTGTACAAGAATAGGACACATATCAAAGATACGATCAAATTTAAATAGTCTGTTTACCCAAACTAGTTCATTGACAAAGAAATTAACTATGTCAGTTATTTCTGTCCATTTGCATTTTCCCCCCAATATTGAGTTACAGACAACAATATCAGTGGCAAAGCATGCATTTGATGTGTTCATTTGAAACACAAAGTCTAAACACGCAAAGACAGGATGCAAGAAACAAGCAGCATTGCTACGGACTAAGCCAACATAAGCTAATGTTGAGTGATCAATGATGAAGTGTAGTCTCTTTTGTGATCAGACTATATACATTCGCTAATCTTTGGACACAAAAAAAATGGTGATGTCAATAGCATCACCTCACAATCTCTCAACAATTCCAGCATAGCATAGCACCATAAGCCTGTTTCGTTTCTGTGTTGGCACAGATGCTAACCATATGAACATTAACTAACCACCAAAGTGACTGACATTACCACATCAAACCAGATGAAAAGAATGGAACAAATAGTATTAGACCACTACTACGAAGCACTGCCAAGTAAGGAAGGATTCACAATCTACAGAGACGAGAGAATGAAATGAAAAAAATGAAGAAACCAATTTATCAAACAGAAGGACAAGCCTCTATGAAGACACATGTATATGATGTAGTAGTTGCTAACTTATGCAGAGAAAAGCTACCTCATCTGAATCGGGCTCACTGCTGCTGCTGCATTTCACACAATGTTTCGTCATAAGCGGCATCACAGCAAGCTAGCAAGTGTGGCTTCCCAGTTTCCCTGCCTATCTCTGTATCTTCTCATCACTGGGTGCCATGTGGCTTACTCAAGCAGTCAAGGATTTCTGTGCGTGTGCGCACAATCCGGTGGAACATCTGCCTGACCTCGCGCTCGAGCGGGTCGAGCCCTTCCTTGATGGTTTCGCACAGCTGCACTAGGTCCTGCGCGGCCTCCCGCACCTGGGTATCCTTGTCCTCGTGCAACGGGAACTCGGCGGCGTCAGTGATCTCCATGAGGTGCCTGGAGGAGAGCTCAATCTGGTGGATCTCCTTGAGCAGGCCGCACGAGTTCTTGCGCTCCTTCTTCTTGGACTCGTCGAGGATGCGTTCGTAGAGCGTGGTGATGGGGCCCGAGCAGGGGAGGTTCCTGGGCACGGAGAAATGCACGTGGAGGCCGCGGTCCTGGCACGGGATGGCGGCGACAAGCGCGAAGGCGACGATGAAGAGCACGGCGCCCATGGTGTGAGACTGCCGAGGCGAGGCCTCCCGTGGCGGCGTTGTCCTGCGGGCGGGGCACGGGCAGGCCTCCCCGATGGCCTGCAGCTGGCGCGCGGCGGACCAGGCCAGGACACGCTCCAGGACAGGGACCTGAGGTGGGTGCCGGAGCCGGAGCCGGAGCCGGAGCTCCCGCCGCTGCTGCTCCGGCGGTGGTGGCCCTGGCCGTGGCCGCGGGCGGCTTTTTCGTTGGTGGCGTTGGCAGGGCGACCGAAGGAGCGGTTGCGCTGGCCGACGACGCCCCGCCGTCCCTGTCTTCGAGCATGAGGATGGTGAGGTCGGTGAGCGCCTTGCGGGCGCGGCGGATCTGGGCCTCCCCGAGCGGCGGTGAGGAGGAGGAGGCGGAAGAAGAGGAGGAGGCGAGGACGGCTGCTGCGATGGCGAGGTGCTTTCGCCACTGGCGGACGAGGTCGAGGCCGTCGCGGACGGCGTTGCAGAGGTCGAGCGCCTTGACGGTGCGGTCGAAGATGTCGGCGGCGAGGCGGTCGAGCGGGGGCCGCGTGGCGGGCGAGATCCCGGAGCCGAAGAGCAGGGTGTGGAACTCCTCGAGGCAGAGGAGGAAGGCGTCGAGGAGGCGGCGCGTCCAGGCGAGGGAGAGGACGTCGTCGGCCAGGGGCGCGAAAAGGTTGGTTAGGAGCTCAGCGGCACGGCGCTGGAAGGCGTCGGTGGCGTCGTCGGGCGGCGACAGGAAGGAGTGGATCTGGTTCTGCTCCCGGCGGAGCGACCAGCCGATGGAGCGGTCGATGGAGGACAGCGGTGCCGCCGCCGACGGCGAGGAATTGGTGGCCGGCATTGTGCCTCGCATCGGGGCGGGTCGGGGACTGGGGGAGGGGAGCGTCTGTTGTGCTGGGCGACTGGCTGATTGCTTTGATTAGCTGCTGATGCGGCCGCCGCTGGGAATCCAAATCGACGGAGGCGGAGGCAGCGGGGCGGCGGCTGCGGATACTAGTGCAGACGCCACGCCACGCCGCAATGCAAATGCACTACTCCTGCTCCTCGTGACTGGCCTTTCGTTTCCTTTCCTTCTAGATGCTAGAGTATTGCTATGCGGAAGGAAAATGGAATTATGGACATGGTTTGTCTGTCCGGCTGTCTGCTGCCACCCCAAACCCAGGCCGCAAATTGCTGGCTCCACCCTGGCCACGCCTGTATTCCTGCTGGCCTGCCCTCTTCTAATCACCACACCTGAATCCGGTCTGCCTTCTTCCGAGTATAGTTTGGCAAGTGCTAACCCCTATTGGTACCTGCTACGCTATTTTTAGAAGAAATTATTCCTCTGATGGGAGAGATGGCCCTGGTATCCCACAAATTTCATCCTTAGAGCATCTCTCCGACGTCACCAATGAACCATTATCACATAGTACTGATTCCACTCTAATATCATTTTCAATGCTATTGATGGAGAAAAATTTTGTAGATCACCACCAATTCATCCCTAATACATATATATTCATAGGCAGGGAGCTTTTTTTTTCTTATTTCATTCCTCTTCTACTCCTCTACTCCCGTACTTCTTATCCACGCCACCCACTCCTCCCCACATCTGCCTCCTCCTTCCTCAGCAGACCCACCACCATCTTCGTCCACAAGCATTGTCCACGTCCCGCTCCACCCCCCCCCTCAGTTCCCTATGTCGACACAACTCCTCGCCTCTATCACCAAGGACGCCGAGGAAGACAACATCGTTGGCCTCCCAGAGGAGCTCCTCACCCTTGTCTTTGGCGTCTTCAGCTTCGATAACCCCAAGCTACTTCCTCGTCTACCACAGCTAGTACGTAGAGGCCACCTATAGCCTTGGCTTGTGCTCAACGACAATAGAGTCTCTAATCTTGCGGTCCATGACGACAAAGAGGCATCGTCCTCAAAGGCGGTGGCCTACAAAGTGAGGACGTTAGCCCTTGTTTTCTTCGTTTTGACCATTACATCCCATGGATCTTTGCCGAAATCTGAGGTGTGAGGGAGCTACATGAGTGGAAGCAACCCATGCAATAAAGGAGTGTAGTAGGTGGGGCTTTTCCATTTACGGTGCCCTAACAACATGATCGGTGGGGTAGACGATGATGCTCTACCAATGTTTGGACGTGTCGCGGAGATGTCTGAGTGGGGGCAGGAGGAAAAGAAGAGCCACTTGGGATTTGGAAAATGTACATGGGGACTTGCATCTCCTCCTCCATTTGAGGTGAGCTGGGGTGGATTTTGGTGATAATCAACAACGAGGGATGGAAAGGGGATATGTTGGAGTAAGAAAAAAGTCATATCTTGCCTACTACATGTAGTTTTTTAGGAAGGGGTATGTTAGAGATGCTCTTAGGACCTTAACATGTCTTTAGTAGGGAATATTATTTTGACAAATGTGGCAAGAGAATTGTAGTTTTATGAGTTTGTGTACTAATCTATAATAATGCTTTGAAACTATAAGATGCGCTTGGATCATCCAACCGTAAACAAATTTTGTATCAAAACCCAAACAAGAATAAGATTTACCATAGCATTACCTTTTTTTATTGATCACCGAGTATTAATTTTTTCACATAAATATTATCTTTTTTATTGCCATAAAGATCAATACATATCAATAAGCAATCTAATCTCAACTACTTCCTCGTAGAAGAACCCAAAATTTCTTAAATGCTGAGCCGCCGTGAAATCACTGGCACCGTCTTCAATTCGCATGCCTTGATACTAATAGAATGCATTGCGGTACATCATTTTAAAACACTATTTTTTTGTGATTTATATCCTAACAAAAATAGCTAACTTATATGTGTCGCTTTTCAAAAACGCGGGACATGGTTTGGCCTTCTATAGTCTTCCACTTGTCATATATTTCAGGTGTCTATTTTTTTAGTTCAACCAACATGAAATTTTTGCCATTGTTTCACTTTATTAAAAAAGTATGAATTATTCCTTATGAAGTGCCCTTTTAATTGTACTAGTTAATTGTCTGAGATTGTTATATGAAATTCAACTTCCAGTAGTCTTCAAGATCAAGCGTTGAATGTTGATATCTAATATACTATATTGTTCATGGCTACAAGAAATTAACACCATATGAATGTACTTTCGAATAGTATAAGAAGAAAATGACACTAATTTTCTATTATATTGTATGGAGGACTACAAGCTATTAGACTAAGTGTTGGTCAGATCTTAGACTTACCTATGCAATTGAAATTAAGCCCCTTTGGATTGAGTCACTCTAAAGTCCTATGAATTGAGTCGCTGTAAAGTCTGTTTTCACAAAAAAACGCCTGCATGAAGAAATGTTTCTTTATATATTTGATTACTTTTGAAAAACATCTACTCAAACCTCATGTTTACGGTTTTGTACGTTCTCTTAAAATTGATTCAAACACTTATTCCTATATTTTTTAAATTTTGATTACTCTGTTTTGTATATGCATTTATATCCTATTCATGTGCTTTTCCAATTCTTGTAATTTGTTTTTCAATGTGGCGTTTCAGAGAGAGAGAGAGAGAGAGAGAGAGAGAGAGAGAGCAAATCTGGGTGGAAAAGGGCAAACCAGTCACCGTGGGCATCACGACCACACATGGAGCTGTTGAGTGCGTTGGCCCCTTCGACACGGTGGCAGAATGGTATTGGTATACCCAGGCCAGGCAGGAGGAGGAGGAGGTCACGTGCCAGCAATGAAGGCCAGGTCAAAAGTCACGTGACGTTTGACCATTGATTAACAGCTTGGCTGAATGGCTGTTGTTGGCCTGTTGCTGCTCCTGGACCAGGAATCGTGGTGGGTCTCTGACAGGTGCGCCCCAGTACAGGAACAGGACACACGAATACAGCACGTGCCAGTTGGCTGTGTCGCTCAAACGGAGGTTCAGCTGACCAGCGACCATCTTTCTTGCCTGCAGCTGTAATGTGCAGACTGCAGCGCAAGTACCACTACGTAGTAGGAATCCTAATCCTCTGCTTCGTTTGTTTAATCCGCCTCACTGAATTGAAAATTAAACACGACAGGACAACAATAATCGCAGGCAGCTGCTGCAATGCAACTCTGGTCCGGTCGGCTTGCCCATTTCCGTCAGCTTCGACTGGTTGAATTATTCGTTATTTACCTAATATATTTCTATCTATGGGTGAGTTTTCTATATTCATGGGAGTAACTACTCCTTCTTCCTAGCAGATACATCAGAAACCCAATAGAAAAGACGGCTCCATGCATGGCACATTTGAATGCCACCAACGAGAAAATATCGGTACAGCAAATTGGAGTACGTATGCTTCCTTTAAAATATAGTATTTATACATAGTACTTTTTAAAATGGAGTATCTGCGCATAATTTTTTTCTTTTTTAGAAGAATGGAGTATGTGTACATACTTTTTGGATTAGAGTATTTATACATACTTGCAAACATATGCAAAGATTTAGATAGTACAAGTGCATATAAACCACACGATCGGAGTATGTGCATACATTCACGTATGGAGATATACAAAACAACGAGAGTATGTATTCATACTTATTTTGAGAAAAAAATATATGTGTATACTTTTGTGAGAAGGGAGTATGCGTGTATACTTTTCTCAACAAAATTACACCAATGTAATACTCACATGCCAAAATCAAATCGTCAAGTACTAAAAATTCGAGAGATAATTGAATCACCTTCATCGCTTATACTCACTGTATCCGCATGGAGCCGCCGGTGGAGCAACAACTCATGCGAGGTAGGATTGCACGAACCAAATCACGGCGATGGCGGGAAGCGGATGCCGATTGGAGCAACTTCACGCGGACGAAAACTCTCGATGATCGGTAGTCTCACGTTGAAGTCCGATCTGAAACCTATGGTGGAAAAAATCAATGCTTAAAAATCCAAATGGAATCTCGAATCCATCGGATGCGAGGACTCGAGAATCAAAAATGAGGCATCCGTTCAAGGAGGCATAGCGAGAAAAGAAAAAGATAACCGATGCTCGATGCGGATCGAGAGAGGCACCGTGGGAGACAGGCGCCGCCGTCGGCGAATCAGCGAGCTCCTCAACCATCGCCGGTCGCGGTTGTGGAGCGGCGCGCCCGGATCCACAAAGGCGTGGAGTGCCTCCGGATCAAGCGACACGGATCTACGGAAGTTGTCATGGGGCGCCGTGTGGGTCGGGCCTCGCCGCCGCTGCTTGGATGCCTACCTTGACGGGTTGGGCGGTGCCGCGTTTCATGAGGAAGGCCGTCGGACGCACCGGGAGGTCGGGGCCGCCCCGCCGTCATGTTCGGTGGGGTGAGAGCGCTGGAATGGGGCACTGAGACTTGACACAGAAATCGCGGCGGGGACGGAGTTTCGGACACCCGGTGGGCTCATGACCGGCGCGCCTCGCCGGACGATGGCGACGCCACATCTCCGACAGGGCCGTGGAAGAGAGGAGGAAGGGAAGAGGACGGCGGTGGATTGCGAGATGCATCGGGTGGGGCTCCTACCGAGATGTTTGTGGATCTTTCTATATATATCAGATTAACAGATTTTTTTAAACCCACTAACGTTCCACGGGTGTATGTGTGTGTCAGTCTGTAATTAAGAGTAGGAAGTAACTGCTCCTAGGGAGTAGGAAAATTTTTCCTTCTATCTATTCAAACTTTTGTTCGGTTGGTTGGTTTGTTTCGATTGTTGGTTTCGTGAAGAAAAATGCTGACCGGTTTATGTGAGAGAAAAATCTTGTTCAAATTTGAAAATTTACGATCGTTTCTGACAAGCCACGCCCAAACTAAACAGTGATTATCTATATCTATATTTATATTCAATCAAGTTTGTTCAAATTGATGGTTTTTCATATCGATAAGCCAATTGATCTTGATTTATTATCAGAGAAAATATTATTCTACGGCTGACAAGCAGAAGCGAACGGGGCGAATGTTTTTTCTTTCGTCTAATGCATTCCTCCCTCGGTCCGAGTCTCACCTGATCTTCGTCTGTCAGTTTGTCGTGTCTCTCACTCTCTCCTTCGTTCGTCCGACTCACACTTCTCTTCCATTCTTTTTTTTTAGGAAATCCCCTTCCATTCATTGATTGTTATCCCTTCTCATTTTGAGGCTGCATTCGCTGGTCCTGTTTTTTCAGACCAGCCAGTTCCTCCTCCTCATAAAATATTATTCATCAATCAGCCGCTACAGTGTTTCTCTCTCACAACAGCCAACCAAAACAGTGTTTTTCAGCCAAGTTTTAGACTAACGAACGGGACCTGAATTTGGAGTTGCATCTCTCGTTGACGTCACATCACTCTCATAACAAATTTAAGATCAGACCAAATCCAACTAAATCTAACAAAATTGCTAGCTTATATTATTATAGGCACAAACAACGACAACAAATTATTCGCATGGTTTGCTGGTCAGCTATTTCCGGATTGAAATGTTACAGCCTCCGACATCGTGGGTCCCGTGCTAACTAGCACGGGCGCTCAGTCGCAATTCGCACCCGCTAGTCTACAGCTGCCGCCGAGTGCAGATGGCGACACTACCCGAAAATGCGAATGCTCTTTTTTTTTTTTGCCCCCGGCAGCCCTGCTGAACTGATGCAGGTATCTATTATTCATCAGCATTTAGCAGGGCTCATTATACTAGCCGACTAGGATTAGGAGGTCGATGTTAGGTTACGTGCCTCACAGCCGACTAGGATTAGGAGGTCGATGTTAGGTTACGTGCCTCACCCATTCTCGTTGCTTGGTCGTTGCTCGCTCAATCATCAAATAGCTCTCCCAAAAAAAAAATATTATGGACTAGTAGTACCTACTAGTTTAACGTTGCTTTCAGCGTGCCTGCCTATTAATCATCATGATGCTGAAATATCTCAAGATCTAGATAGCGACTCAAATCTCCATGCAAACCCAACGCAATCATCTTTGCTTTTGTCCTCCCTTTCCTCCCTGATTTTCAGGGCCCAACAACAACACGTTCCTCGGAGCAACGTCATCGCCATGCCTATCTCGTCTCATCCACATTATACATACTCCTTCAGGGACAAAAAAGAATTCAAGAGCCAACCAATTTTAGATTATCAAAATTTATACAAAAAGATACTAATATATCTAAAATACTCCTATGTTATTCATACAATATATTTTCCTTGTTAAATGTATTTGAAGAAGGGAATGAGCGCAATGCAGCGTTGAAGTCTTCGCCTCTGTGACCGGGAAGATCCGGGTTCGAGTCATGGTCTCCGCCTTGCTGCATTAAGGCGAGGATAAGGAACTTCTTAATCGACCTTCCTTCCTGCATCAAGACATAGCGGGAAACTCTCTGCACTAGATACGTCTTTTTTTTTAAAATGTATTTGAAGATACAAATATCAAATATGGCTACTATTTTCTATAAATCAAGTCAAATTTAAAACTGATTGATTCATTGGAAAACAAGATATGCGTTTTTTTTACACAGGGAGACTAAGCAGCAAAAAAGTAAGTGCAGACTTGTCTCAGATTGCTTCCCTGACGCAAAAAAAAAAGACACTTGCGTTTCTATCCACTTTCAGGTTTCTGAAGCAACATCTCACGAAACAATACTTGAATCAACAGCTACTGTAAATTATTTACATGCAAAGGCTCAGAATGCCTCTGCTTATATCACTTACAAACACATAAAACGATCTCTCACTGCTGCTGCCCTGCTACGATACGCTACTCGTCCCATCTATTCATTCATTCATTCATTCACAGGCCAGCTTGGTGTCGAAGCTCGTCAGACATATGGCGAAGGCCTGGAAGGCCGACAGCGGGTACCGGTAGTCCATGGTGAACATGTCCCTCCCAACCTTGCCGAACTGCAGGATCACCGGGTCATGGGCATGGCTGGACGACGACGAAGATGGAACGGAGGCCTGTGGCTGTGTCTGTGTAGGAGGTGTTGCCGCCTGTGGTGGAGCAGAAGAAGCCCCCACGGGAGCTGGCTGTGGCGCGGAAGCTATCAGCTGGAAGTTCTTGACCGAGGCCACAGTGGCGCGCCAGCGAAGTTGAGGCACCAGCACTGCAGCTGCTCGTGCCACCTAGGCGCCTTTGTTGCGCAGAACCAGAGGCTTCTCCTTCTCTGAGTCGTCGCTGCCTTCTTGCAGAGCCCCTCCACTGAGCTCGGAGAACCGGCAGCTGCTCAGGTCCATGGAGCTGTCCACGACAGAGTACTTGGAGAAAGAAGTTGCTGTGCTGCGGAAGGACTCGTCGAACAGCCTTGGAGGCGCTCCTTCAATTGGCCAGGCACAACACCGCCAGGCTCGACTGCTGATCTTGGGGATGGAATGCATAGCACACTGCATCCGCCTTGGCCCCGGGTTCGAGCACGTTCAGCTCGTGGTTTACCTGAGCAATGGGGTAGCTTCCCGTTGGAACTCTTGGTGAAACTTTCCTGGAAGACAACCCACGGCTGGGGCGCGTTCCTGTGCGCAAAGTTTCCGGCATTGTCTGGAGGCTGTGTGTCGAGATGATAAATTTAGTTCAAGGAAATTTGACCTGCAGAGCCATAACTTGTCTCAGTTTTTTTATTTGAGGGAATACTTATGTTAGGTTTTAATGCAAAGATCATCAATCATACTCATCCAAGTGACAAAGAGGATAAAGGAAGATTGTTGCCTAAGAAGATTCACCTTAACTTCCCAATGTAGCCAGTACTACTCGCTGGGAGAAATTCCTTGAATCCATAAAAATAGCATACTCCGTTAGTGCGCCATCCTGCGACTCCTTTTAAGCTGCTAATAGGAACTTTCCGTTTCTCATCAAGCACAGCTACAAGATCCAGCAGAAATATCACTGTGTTGCATATGTACATCTGATGAAAACATCCTAATTAGTTCTTATTATAGTTTCAGAATGTTACTTAAAATCTTTAGTGGCAGATATGTTTACTACATACACACTGTCATCGAGAATGAAGGCAGGCACAAGCAGCCATGACAAGAAACTAGAAATCAGTTTGCAGTTTGCATGTAATTAACTCAAGCAGCATAACTTTTACATGTGAAGAAAAAACACGAAAAATGACAAGAAAACAATAGCAGGCATGGTATATTCTACTATGGTGACAATGCGACACTGCATAATCCGAACTATATACCAACCACATCATTTTCAAGTCCGTGCTGCTGTGGAAGCTTCAAAGGCTGGTACAGGAACAATAGTCTCACCATGACTAATGTAAAAGGCGAGAAAGTCTAATTCTATGAAACATTCATGTTTTTGGACAATTATTCAAGCATTTACATAGATGCTTCATCCTGTACTTAATGCCTTTTTTTTTAACATCACAGATTTCCCCCTTGAATAAAGTTGTGATAGAAAGTAGTGCTGGTTTCTAGTCACCTCCTGAATTATCAGGTTCAGAAAAGACAAAAAAATAGTGGAACAATATTTTCCAATGTACTGAAAATGACCCATGGTTCTCCTTCAAGGACAAAATTGAAAACTGATGGGACAGACAGGAGTTTCAACAAACAAACAAAAGACTATTGACTTTGTTATTTTGAAGTGAAGACAATAGCTTGACACTTACCAGAACTAAGGGACAAGTAGAGCCGGTATGTTAGCTTTGATTTGTCCCTTTTTATGAAACATTGGATTACTCCGTCTCGGGGTCCAGGCTGTGCATGAAAAATTCAAATAAGTGTTAAGAAAGACAGAAAACAAACAAAATTCATGGACACAGAGTTTCC